AGTGAGTGCGGGTGTCTTCGATAGAATGTGTGTGCAAATGCGCCTGGGAAAGCGCGGGAAAGGGAGAGAGGGAGAGAGTGTGTGTGCGTACCGCGTGCAATTTTGTGTACATGCACGGCACATAGTCAAAGAAAGTGCGAGTACTCTCGAAGCAAGGCCGCCCCACCCTCAGTCTATTCGCCGCTCTACAAACCGAGCCCGCCCCCTGGCCCCCGACCGAGACACCAACCCCCCAGCTGCCAAGCAGCGAACGCGGCGGCCGCGGCCCGGCCCGCCCACCTCCACAACGCGCCCGCGGCACGCGCCCGCCACCAGCCCCTTGAGCACCGTCACCGCCCGCCGCTCGTCCAGGGACACGTCGCTCGCCACGCCGGCAGCCAGCCGGATGGGGCTGTAGTCCCCGAGGTCCACGCTGCCGGGCTCCACGCACGATCTGATCCCTGCCTCGACCGCTGTCCTGTAGATCGCGTCCCGCCCCCCCACCGTCCGCGCGTCGAGCGACGCGCCGCCGGCGGACATGCACGCGGCGCGCAGCGCGAGGATGTCTTCGAGGGCGTAGTCCTCGCCCCTGTTTTTGGAAGCCTCGATGCGGCGGAGGATGCGCTCAGCCTCGGCGCGGCGGCGGGCGCGGTCGGCCTCGCTGGTAACCGGCAGGAAGCCGGGGCGCTCCCACCTTTGGGGGGGGGTGCGAAGGGCGGTGTAAGGCAGGGGTGCGGGCAGGAGTGTTTGTGGGGGGGAGGGGTGAATGGCAGGGGCGGGATTTTGGGGGCCCTTGAACAGTGGCTTTTGTGGGGGCGAGTCTGCCGGCGAGGCGGGAGCGAAGATGCAGGGCAGCAAGCTTGGGCATGCGCTGATGCGGCCCGGTCCTCCCTCCCCTAAGCGCGCGCCCCGCGTGCGCACGCACCACGCCGGGGGCTCGTAGTGCGCCGCCGCCTGCTGCGCCGCGCTGCCGCTGCCGGCTGCCGCCTTGGTCGCCGCCACTGCCGCGAGGGCGCTGAAGTCGACGTCCGACATGTGGTCGGGCAGCTTCCCGCTGCCGCCCTCCTCGGACTCTGCCGGGACCCACACCTGACAGGAGCGACGGTGGACACAACGGTCGACAGGGGCACAAGGCGGCGCCGACCGAGTGCAGAGGCGACATCACAAAGTGCTGCACCACCACCTAGCCCCTTCTGAATGCTCAACGCGCGCACACACACACACACACACACACACACACACACACACACACACACACACACACACACACGCACAAACACCCACTAACACACACAAACACAAGCACACACACAAAGCTGCCCTCCAGATACCTGCCCCCAATCCTGCTCGCCGCCACGCCTGCCTCCCCAGAATGCCTGACCCTCTCCTCCGACCCATGCAGTGTGTAACGGAGGCCCTCTTCTGACAGGGATATTCACATTCTCATTCACATACCTTGTCTCACACACACCCACACACACACCCACACACCCACACACACCCACACACACGCACGCACCCCCCCCAACACACACGCAACCACAGCAATTGCAAACATGACGCACCCTCTTGCCGCCGAGGCCTCTGTCGTACACCCAGCGCCCCTTGCGCCCGCGCCGCCGCCCCGTCAGCTGCCCCAGCAGGTCCGTCCTGTACGCCTGCCAGCCGCCCGCCAGCAGAAGCCCAAAGGTCAGCGGCCCGGTGATGTCAGCGCCCAGCACGCGGATCGACAGCAGCGCGTCCTCATCGTACGCGGAACGCGTGGACTGCGCGTGGCGCGGGGCCGCGCCCATGCCACAGGTGATGACAGGAGACGGGGCAGAACGGGAATGGGGTGTCGATATAGACACGGGGTTGGAGGGGAGAGGGAAGCATGTGGGTCCCTGCAAGCAAGGCGGCGGGCTCGCGGCTGCTGCATGCTAGGGGCCGGCCGGGCAGGCTGTGTCCCAGGCTGCCCGGGCGAGCTTTGCCACCGGCTCGATCTCAGCAATCAAATGCGGAAGACGCTCCTGCGATGAGCCGACCGCGGTCCGCAGCGCACCTGCTGCAGGGAAACGGAGCGCGCTCGCTGCTCCGCGGCCTGCCGCTTTGACGCTTCGTCCTGGGTACCGGGGGGGCCCGGCGAAAATGCGGGCGAGTGCTGGTAAAGCGGTGCGCTGCAGGCGGTAAGGGGAGTTCACAAGTGATGAGCGCAGTCCAAACGGATGACGAACAAGGGTATGCCGTTCCAAGTGCTCCCGCTCACGTCTGCGCGTCGCTTCTCCTGCTGCAGCAGCTTCTGGAGGTCTCTGATGGCCTCCTTTGTCGCCTCCTGCTCCTGCAACGATGCATGCCAGTACACGCGGCCGCGTTTGGCGAGTGTTGCTGCGCGGCCAATAAAAACTGCAAGCGCCATTATAGGTGCTGCCATTGCCTTGGCCGCGCCCATGCGCAGCAGCGCCCGGGTCGGCGCCATGCAGCAAAAGGCACCCCAGCCTCTGCAGCTCTGTGGCCCCAGGAGGCAGCTATTCGCACCTCAACGATCGCGTCCGCCCAGGTGTCGGTGAAGCGCTCGCCGATGTGGCGGTGATGGCGGCGCGGCTTCCAAGCAGCGTCCGCGTGCGCCGCGCCCGCTCGTCCCATCAGGGATACAGCCACTGCCGCCGCCGTCAAGGCCTTCGCCAGAGGTCCCAAGTCGAGCGCATGCTGCTCAACGCCCCGATCTGGCCTGCTGCTTGCGCGCGGGGCTACCGTTGTGCGTTGCAGCCCGTCGAACCTATTGGCTGCAGCCACACGCCGATGCAAGGGGAGCTGCATAGCACACTTTGCGCGATCCTGGCCAGTTGGTAATCAATGTCACGATGATCTCCACGGGAAGCCAATGGGCTATGTGAAACGCGTATCTAAACATATATACATACTCTAGCACAGGACCCAAAGCCCCCACGAGCTCGTATCCCAGCTTTCAGGCAGCTGCTGCTCAGCTGCCCCTGGACCCGTTTGTACGGGATCCAATTGTCTTTCACATGTGCACATTTATTAGCTCAAGCGAGTCCCCTTGCGAGGCCGCCACTTTTGTCCGATTGGTGGGCTTTGAGGCATTCGATCTGCAGCCTGGGTGCCTGTGGAGAGCAGGATGCTGGGCCACACGACTGCGAAAGCATTCAATTTGCCTCTGCGCTGCCAGCCGTTTGCAGCGCCTTCTCAGTTCGTCCGAGCGCAGCAGCTGCACCGCCGTGCTTCCAGTGTCGCCATGGCCACCTCCACGGTGGAGGTGAGTCCTCACCTGGGCGCGGCTATAGCGCATCTGCCGCCTTCGGCATGCAAGTGAACAAGGGTTATGCCAGGGGTGAATGGTGGTGCACAGAATGCGCTGGCTTGGCCGCTATCGCCATAGCGCATGGCCGCTATCGCCACTTGCATGCCACCTTGTAACGGCAAGTGCTGATGAGGTTGGTCCGCTGGCACAGTGTGCCAGGCAGGTTTGCCAGGGGCTGATAATGACGATGCACGCACGTCGCCACTCAACCCAAACCCGCACACCCCAGGCGTGCACGATCGTGGGTGGAGGCCGCGTCGGCCAGGCGCTCGCAGAGATGGGCCCCGGCACTGATGTGAGCCGGCGCTGCGCGCACAGCAGCACGCGCTGCTCCTTCCAGCCTCCGCAGCCCTTCCCGTCCATTGCAGCTGCGGGGCCAAACCCACGTGACGCCGCTTGCGGATATCTTTGCAGCTGGGTAATGCACGCTCGCGGTGCCTTTGGGACCCCTCCGCCTGGACGCAGGTCATCGTCAAGCGGGGCGGCAAGATCGAGGGGCCCCCCGGCCCCATCATCGTCGCAACGCGCAACGACGCGCTGGACGGCATTGTGGACGCGACACCCGAGGATCGGCGCAAGGGTGCGGGCGCTCGCCTCGCCTCGACGCAAAAAGCGAGGAGGCAGCGAGAGGCGTGATGCCGTCTGTCTAGGACTGGGGTCGTTTGCCGACCCGGCGTTGGGGGCCCAGGGTGTGACGACACCACGCAATCACAGGGTTTTGAGAGCCCGCTCCAGCATCCCTCCTTCCTCGCACTCTTCACCCGCCGCACTGAAACGCTAATAGCGACTCCCGCTGTGCACACCCGCAACAACACGCACTCCCAGACCTGGTCTTCATCCAGAACGGGATGCTGCAGCCGTGGCTGGACTCAAGGGGCCTCGGGGACAACACACAGGTGCGCCTCGCGGCAGGGTGCTGCGTTGACAACTGGTCAAGGGCAGGGGCCTTGAGGCCAGGGACATTGAGGGCAAAGTCCTAGTGTTTGAGCGGAAGCGGCATCATGAGATGTGGGCAACGCATATCAGCGTCCAGACGTGCCGTTGTGGTGCAGGCGGGCCAAGGGCTTGTCCATGCAAGCGTGGCGCAGCCCTGCCGCGCCGCCTCCCCCTGCTTGGCCCGTCACGCTTTGCCTGCACCGCACCGCACTCACGTCCCCTTATGTGTGCGCCGCGCAGCTGCTGGTGTACTTTGCGGTAGCGAAACTGGGGGATGCCCCCACTGACGGCAAGACGGACGTCAACCCAGAGGGCCTCACGGCCGCATACGGCCGCCACGCAGAGGTCAGGGGACGACCTGATGACACGTTGCACCTTTTTGTGGCCGCCCGTTGGCGCATGTTCGTGTGCGTGTGTGTGCGCGTGCGTGCGTGCGCGCGTGTGTGTGTGTGTGTGTGTGCGTGTGTGTGCGCGCGTGCGTTCGTGCGGATGTGTGTGTGTGCGCGGATTTGTGTGTGTGTGTGTGTGTGGGTGTGTGTGTGTGTGTGTGTGTGTGTGTGTGTGTGTGTGTGTGTGCGCGCGCGTGCTTGCATTTGGGGCTATGTGCGTGAGGCTACGTGTTTAAGCGCGAAACGCGGCCACAGTGCCCATGTGGGTGGCCGCCTGCCAGGCTTGTGGCTTCCAAGGAATTGCACGGCTGTTGGCCCAGTAACAGAACCCGATTGGCACCCTCCCAACGCTTCCACGCCCGACGACGCCGTCTTCCCTGGCCCGCAGGCCGTCGCTGCGCGGCTGTATGCGGGCGGCCTGAGCTGCAAGGTCCTGGGCAAGGCTGAGTTCACGCAGGCAATGCTGGAGAAGCTGGTCTGGATCAGGTGGGGGCGGATGGTGCAGGCCTGCAGGGGTGATACCGGTTCTTGGCACTTGGGGGACCTGCTGACTATGCAGTGGGCAGGTAGGCAAGAACACGGTGAGCCGGCTTACATGCATGGCCTTGTCTGGCGCCAAAAACGCAAGCCCCGCCAAAACACCCAACCCACTTCTCCGATGCACCCGCCCTGCAACAATCATCCAGCGCCTTGATGCTCGTCGGGGCCAAGCACAAGGTCACCGTGGGGGAGGTCGAGTCCAAGCACACGGCGGAGGTCTCCGCGCTCATCTCAGAGCTCTTGGCTGCCGGCGGCGCCGCGCTCGGCGTCCCCACGGCCCCCGGCGCGGTGGAGCGGCTCAACGCCTACTCGCGCAGCGTGGCGCACTTCCCGACAGCCGTGAAGGAGTTTGAGTGGCGCAACGGCTGGTTCTACGGGCTCACCCAGGCGGCCGCCAAGGAGGGTAAGCCGGACCCCTGCCCCCTGCACACGGCGCTGCTCAAGGAGGTCGGCGCGATCTGACCTGACAGACCTGATTTCAAACATCATTTTTGAAGAAGCGAAGCGGCTGATTATGCCAAGTCAAGGCTACCCATTCAGCAGAGGCGGCTTGCTGTGCCCCCATTTTGCGTCAGCGCCTGGTTCCATAATTTTGCCTGCTGCGGATGTCAGGCGCACGCCCTCGCTCCTTCCGCATGCTGACGGGCGACGCTGAGTTACTTTGGCCCCACTCAACCAGCCCCAGCGGCCTGCCGATGTCCTGGTCAACAGCACGCCTGCCGCCCCAGGCGCAGCAGGAGGTTTGGCAGGCAGGGCCGCCTCAAGCAAGCCAAGAACGAGGGGGAAAGCTTGTGGGGTATGGCGAGCGCCTGCAGTCGGGCTGCTGATAAGACTGAATGTGCGCCATTGTTCGATGACATCACAATCAGGCACCCGGAATTGCAGCGCACACACCACTTGCAGCAGCTGGTGGAGCCTGAAAAACACAGCCAACTATTTGATGCTGTCTCAGCATGTCAAGTCGTGGGGTCGAGTTTATCTGAGCGCTTGCAAGGCAAGTTGCGCAGATCAAGACACCGGCTCAGCATCCAGATTGCATCATCGGTGATTTGACCTCAAATTTCTTTTGACATAATGCGCCGTCCGTGTTGTATCAGCGGCGACCAGCTTCTTTCACCAGTCGCAACCATGTTGACTCTTCCGTCGCGTTTCACATGAACAGCGCGGCACTAACACATATTCTAGCCTTTGGTCACAGCTGCTGGCCAGTAGGTTCTCTGCGACCCTGCATTTCAGTGCCGCGCCGGCGTTCGGCGCATGCGCTGCACTGTCGCCCCAGAGCTCAGCTGCAGGGCGCTGGCCCTCGTGCGCATGTAGATGTTCCAGATCGACACAATTGTACACCCTAAAGATAAACAGAGGCAGCGGGGGCAGCGGCTGGGCAGCGGCATGGCTACCGACCGGCTGGACCTGTTGAACGCCGAGGGAGAGGGCACGATATAGTGAGTTTCGGCTGCCATGTCGCGCCGGCAGCAAGTGATTGCATCGGCTGCTCATTTGGTGCACAAGCCCGATGCGTGGTACATGGACAGCAGGGGCAGCCAGCTGGCGCCCATGGCCACGCCAGACCTATGCACCCAATCCCACCCGCGCGCCTGCACATGCATGCGGCCGCCTCGGCCCCCGCCTGCAACCCCCAGCTACCCATCTGGCCGCATCGCGCTGACCGTATGCAAGAGCCCCGACGGATTCTTCCACACTTTCACGGCCGACTCTCAGCGGTTTCAGGTGGGCACGCTGTGGCAGGGGTGGCGCGGGGCTGGAGCTGCCAGGGGTGGGCGGGCAGGGCACTGGCGTCGACAGCGCAGCACAGCACAGAGGCTAGCGAGGGGCTCATTTTTGCGCGGCCTGTGGGCGCCACGCACCGTAGAAACAGCAAAGCTCCTGCGGCAATGTTATAGTGGCTTGCGCAGCTGCCGCTAGTCCCTGGCCTCGGGGCATGCAAACCGCGTCTCGCTGGCAACCAACAGAGCCGTTGACACGGAACACCCGGCTCTCCCAATCTTCTTGTCCCCGCAGGTCCTGGCCAACTTTGACAGCGATGGCATTGGCGGCGCCAACCATCCAGATGGCAGGCCCTGGTGAGCGCTCAGCCATCACGCACGACTGGCGCTGATGCCAGTGGCCGACAAAGAGCAGCTGCCCCTGGAGAGCGTGCGCATTCCAGTCGCCTCGTCCGCGTTGCAAGCAGGCCCGCGCTGCTGCAAAGCCGTCTCTGGTTGCTCGCTGGTGCGTCGCTGCTGCCTCAAACAGCAGCTGACATCACCCGTGCTCACCGCACGCAGGCTGGTTGTCACGCGCGACGGTTGGTCCCTGTCGTCCCCGGAGGGCCGCAAGCTGCAAGGGGGCAAGTGGCCCCGCCCAGCGGGCGCCAGGGAGGCCATCAGGTATGTAGCTGCACATGGTGACTTGGCGTTCTGACCTCCTTGTGCGGCTCAGCCCTAGGCAGGGCCGCGGTGCCAATGCTGTGCACGCGTGCTTTTGGGGAGCGGCAACAACCATGTGCGGAGCCAATGTCGTGCCTCGACTGCCTGCAGTTTGGCGGGCGTTGTTTGTGAGGCGTGCATTATCAAGCAAGTAAAGTCACGCCCGTCCACGTGACTCGCAGCCTGCAGCTGGCCCCCCACCTGTCGGTGGACTTTGTTGACCGGCAGAACATCAGGGCGCACCTCAAGCTGCAAGGAATAGAGCGGTGAGATTGTGCCAGACATGAGCTCGCGTACTGCAAAAGCCCGACACTATGACGCACGCGATCAGCTTGTGTGAAAGAGAAATTGGGGCGAACAATTGGCATTCGGTGACCGGGCGCCACTCGGCCGACCCTCTGCTCCCGCCGCCGCCGCCCTGCCCGCAGGACATTCCAGTGCGGGGAGTTCTCGCGGCGGCAGGGGCAGGGCAGCTACCTCGACAAGGTGACGCCGGATATCTTATATGATTATAAGATTGTCGGCTCATCAATTGGCGAGCTGTCGCGTGTTGCTGTTGTGCATAAGTGAACATCGTGCAATCACCTTCTTTCAACAGCTTGGCATCAAAGAAGATTTCACGAGGTTGTCTCGTCCTGTGTCACACACCTGTGGCACTTTGCAAGACCAAAGTCCTCCTGCATTTGTCCAGTTGCCTTTTGTTGATGGAGCGTGCAACCACGAATGCCCCTCGCCCTGCCCCCCCCTGCAGGTGGTGCGGACGCTGCCGGGCGGCAAGCTGGAGCTGGACATGGGCCCCATAAGGCGCCGGATAGAGGAGGTTGGGAGCGTCTACGTCTCCAGGTATGGGGGGCACACGACGTGGGGCGATTATTGGGGGTAGCGAACCAATATGGTGCGTTGGGAGCAGCGTCGCCCTTCTTAACAGGCAGGGCCCCCCTCAAACCAATCTCGCCGCAACCAGTTGGAAAGCAGCCTGCCAAATGTGGGTCTCAAATCATCATGTGAACACCACCTTTGCTGGCGGGATATCCAATGACGCAGGGGCCCGCACCACCTCGTGACGGCGCAGCCGGGGCTGGGTGAGCGTGTCGCGCCTTGCAGCAGCGTAGGCCGTGTGCAGAGGCGCGGTCAACACTGCAGCCAGTCCCAATAGTGCCTCAAACATTTATAGTTTGATGCTGCATGGCAACGCGCCAGGCGTCCTGGCAGCCGCTTGCGCCCCATTGCCAAGGCGGCTCACATCTGCTCTCTGTCGCCTTGAGACCTTCCAGTTGCCCCATTCAATCCCCACCAGGAAACCTGAAATCCATGCTGGCCAGCGTGCGCGCCGGGTCACCCATCACTGCAATGGTTGCACAGCTAGATGCCACACAGGTGAGCTGTCTCGCCCCACAGCATCATGCTGTGTGTGAACCATTGGAGTTGGGAGTGCATGCGCGCGTCATGCTTGATTGCTTGCGCTTTCAGCAGATCAGCGGCCGTCCTGCTTTCAAGTCTGTGCTTACAGATCTCGCATGGGGAAGCTGAGCGCCCTAGCTGACCACGTGCCTACTCACTACCCTGTGTGCCGCGCTTCTTCTCAGGGACGCATTAGACGGATCAACACGAAGCCCATCAGCGCTTATGGTGAGCGGCGCCACTCATGCAACGTGCGTGCGCGAGGCGGCTGCGCAACGTGCGTGCGTTGCCGAGGAACGGTGCGCTCTGGTGGAAGGGCCCCTGATGGCATGCGCATTCAGCGGGACATGTTTCAGGCAGAGAAGAAAGCAAACATGCCAATGTGCCCCCCCCCTGCACCCGCAGGAGGAGCGCACGCGGCCAAGCATCGCGCAGAGCCCTTGGCGGACTTTGGGTCGCCTCCGCTGTCCAAGGGGCAGCTGCGCCTGGCGGATGGTATGAAGCGCGCCCAGTCTGCCAGGCCCTCTTTTGACCTGAGGTGAAGGCGGGGCGTGCGTGTGCTGCAACATATACTTGCGTATCTGGCAGATTGTGTGCGCAAAGGGGCGCGCGCACTCCCGCACCCAAACGCACGGCCACTTGTGTCCAGATGACGCCCATACAAGCACACGCGTGCGAGCACACGCACACGTGCGCAGGCGTGCGTGCACACGCACGCACGCACGCACGCACGCACGCATGCGCAGGCGCGCGCGCACACACACGCACACACGCGCAGGCGCGCGCGCACACACACACACACACACACACACACACACACACACACACACACACACACACACTATCGGTGCGCGCCTACACTGCACATGCGTGCACACGAAAGCGCTCACACGCACTGCGTCAAGGACCTACTCACCACCCTATTGAATGCCTCCTCCGGCCAACAATCAGGCGCCGCAAGCTGCCCCTAATCAGTGTGACAGACCTGGACGAGCACGTGGCGGGGCCAGGGGCGCCCAAGGATACCTTGTTCTGCGCGTGCGTGCTGGCAGACTGGAACCCCGTGTGCGCGCGACTGGATAACCAGCATTTGCAGGTGACAGTTGCGGGTCAGTGGGCGACGGCATGAGTTGTGTGCGTGCTGATTCTGACAGGTGCTGGTGTGGTCGTGTGATGCAACCTCCGAATTCCACGTCAGCAGCATAAATCCCAAAATTGAACCGTTATGGCGAACAATCAAGCCGCTGCATAATGCTGTACGGTTCCATCATCACTTGATGTGATCGACCACTGATTGCGACAGGCAGCGTGGTATGAGCTCTCAGAGGCGGCCGCGGCCGATGCAAACTGCCCAGCGGCGCGGGTACGGCTGGTGAGAGTCGACGGCAGCGAGAGCCGCGTGCTGCAGGCGCGCCACGGGTTCAGGACGGCGCCCATGTTCCTGTTTTATTACCAAGGCTCTCTTGTTGACGCGGGCAACGACGTGCGCAGCAAGGAGGTGCGGGGCAGGGCAGGGGAGCGGCATGCCCTCTGCATGTGAGGCGCAGCCGCCGCAGGTGCCCTCGGAATTGCGCGGGAGGGTGCATTTGGAGGGCTACCGAGAATGCACCGATGCCCCACAGGGGTTGCCATAATCGAACATCACTGCAAGTCCGGACAATTGATACAAGCTCAATCCGTGCGCTGTCGTACTGGAATGCGTGTGTGGGCGCACAATTGCAGGAGATGATTGAGCGCGCACTGGCGGCGCTGGCGTTGGGGCGGCGCGGGGAGGTGCTGCCACAGGGCTTCTCCTTCCAGGGCAGCGATAACAGGTTAGGCGAGGGGCGAAGCCGGGGCTGCACTGCAACCGCTGCGCCGCGCTTCTTTGCTTGGCCGATGTCACTCCGCCTGAGCAGTAAGTACAGTAGCAATAAGCTGGGGAAATGGGAGCCCGTCCCATGCATGGCCACTTACAGCCATTCTCCATGTACTGCTGGCCCCCTTCCTTGGCGCCCAGGGTTCTGGACAAGATAAATCGTGATATGTCGCTGCTGACCGGCAGCTGCTGATGGGACTCGTCGGAGCGCAAGCAGCCACATCTGGCGCAGCATACGCCACTCGACTCGTTGCTTGACTGTGCATGTCTGCTGACTGTGTGCGCCCGCCTGTTTGACTTTTATTTGGTACCTGATTATGCAATTGTGGCACCCACATAAGCCGTGATGACGATTGCTGTCTCTTCAGGTGTACTGAACATGGCCCAGCAGCCGAGCACCTGCAGCACTGACGTGCCAGGAGGTGCTCGTGCAGTGGCGATGAAAGAGTGCACATGCAACGGTCGCATCTGACGCGCTTAAGTGCGAACAAAAAAATGCAGTAGCATATGATATATGTCATATCATGCGACGCATATTGTATGATCGCCATGCGTCTAGCTGACCGGATCTGGTGCGATCTGCATGGGCCGCCGCATTACGGTACAGGCATAGCATATGATATAGCGCAAAACTGCAGAGAATAATAGCTGCATCGATTACTGCGTGCCGACAGCTCGCCCGTAGCGGTCTGCTCTGACTAGCTGTGTGCTGCATGACTGCAGTGCAGCAGCTCGAGTGGAGTGAGCACGTTGATCCCCGCGATGTGGAGTCCCTCAACCACCACAACAATTTCAGTCGTAGCCTTGACAGCAGCGCTTCTGACATGGTGAGCGGTGACTGCACACAACACGCAGCAGTGGCTGGTGCTGAGGCAGGAGGAGGCCCCGGCGGGTGGCTAAGCGTGTGTTGTTTTGATGCCAGGCCGCCATCACCCAACTCCTGCCTGTGCTCCTGCAACCAATACACATTTTCAGGGCTGCGCTGCGTGCTCGCCAGAAGCAAGGCGACGGGCTTCAACACGGCGATGGCGGCGGGAAGCCAGCCTTGCCACCTTCCCTTAAGAACAAGCAGCAGCTCGAGCAGCAGCAGGAGCAGCAGCAGCAGCAGCAGCAGCAGCAGCAGCAGCAAGAGCAGCAGCAGCAGCAGCAGCAGCAGCAGCAGCAGCAGCAGCAAGAGCAGCAGCAGCAGCGTATCAAGGAGCAGCAGCAGGACGTTGTGCTGAAGGCGGCGGCTGCAGAAGAGAACGCCCAGCTGATCGCGGCATACGCTCGCCTGGCGGACGAGTTCCGCTCCAGCGGCCTCGACTTGGATTCGGTCAAAGCCCTGCAGCCGTACTTTGACCACACGGATCCCCAAATCGCGACCCTGCCGTGGCCCAAGGCGTACACAGCCCTGGAGGACCCGTTTGCGCCCAATTCAGCGCGCCTGCTGGTCGTGCCGCTGGCGGAGGCGTCGCCGGCCCTCGCATCGCTTGGGGCGCAGGTCGCAGGCGCCTGCCTGCGGCTGGTGCCGCCAGGCTTCAAGGTAACCGCTGCAGCTGCTTTGTTGTGGGGAAGGTATTCGAGCAGACGTGTTGGGAGCTGTGAGAGCGATAGGGCCTGCCAGTAGCGCCGCGGGGCTGCAATGACAAGGGCAGTGGTCGGCCGCATGTAGGCAGCTGGCAGTGATGTGCTCGTGACAGCTTTGGCCAGCACCCCACCTCCACGGCGCTCGCAAATTCACCGCTCTCGCACAGGTGTTCAGCAATGCGCGGGCAGACTACCACGTTACGCTTTTCCATTTCTCCCATTTTCAAGACACGCGCCCCGACCCCCTGGTGCCGACTGGCGGCGCAGACCTGTCTATGGCTGCGCAGCGGCGGCCGGGGCCCTCACCGACCCAGCTTCAGGCAGAGGTGGAGGCGGCACGGCGTGTTGTGGGTGCAGCGCAGCCATTACAGCTGCAGGTGTGGCTCTTCAGACGACAAGGGCGTAGATGTGCAGCCGGCAACGTCCCCAGCAGCGTCTGATTTGTGAAATCCAGCACACCGAGCGCAGGCCTGGGGCTGTACATGTGACGTCATTCCCCAACATTCATGCCAATGCATGCATCGCCGACGGACCATGCTCACCCATCAAGTACACGTCCAACTGAGACCGCTCTGACCCCCCCCCCCCCCCCC